AGGGCACAAATAGGTAAATAAGGGTCTGTCACTTAAAAATGTTGGTCAGTGGTCAAGCAGCACCTCAGAGCGAGGTTGACAGCTCAGCACAGTTCCCATGGGTGCTTTCACTCATTTAATAGACATTTACACAGCACGGTGTGTCAGCCCTGCGCTCCGAGCGCATGGATAAGAGGGAAGACAGACAGCCATAGTGTAGTGGAGTCAGTGTCTGAGGGGTATGCATGGCGTTTGGAAGCCTGTAGAAAAGAAAAACTGCTGTGAATGGAGTCGATGGGGGTGGGGACATGTTCACGGAGGCTATAGAAGTCACCAGGACTGCGTTCACCAGGCAGACAGGAGCAAAGGAGCACTGGAAACACGGAGCCAGCCGGGTCCAGGTTGTTAGAAGGTAAAGGAAACATCCGTGTGCAGAACCTACAGTGCGAGGGAAAGTTGCTCAGACTGAAAAGCTCATTTGGGACTGTAAAGAGTTGTCATTTCACTGGGGACTGTTGGCCAGATGGCATCTTTCTCCTCCTCAGGCTTTCCTTTCTTCCTTCCCACACTCTCTGTTTTTCCTCTTCCTTCTTTCCTTTGCCCATAATATACATTGGGTCCCTCAGAGCCATGGATATTCAGTTAGTCCTTTCCTTGGTACTTCTGATACAAGTCATTTGTAGCTCTTGTCCAAAGGTTTATTTTTTTTTATTATTTTTTTTTAATGATGTTGATTCTACCAATCCATGAATACGGTATGTTCTTCCATCTGTTTATGTCTTCCTCTATATCTTTTTTCAACATCCTGTAGTTTTCTGAGTAGAGGTCTTTTACCTCTTTAGTTAAGTTTATTCCTAGGTAGCTTAATTTTTTTGGTGCGATGGTAAATGGGATTGTTTTTATAATCTCTCTTTCTGAAAGTTCACTATTGGTGTATAGAAATGCCTCAGATTTCTTGGGGTTAATTTTGTATCCTGCTACATTGCCAAATTCATGTATTAAGTCTAGTAGTTTTTTGATGGAGTCTCTAGGGTTTTGTATGTATAATATCATGTCGTCTGCAAATAAGAACAGTTTTACTTCCTCTTTTCCAATTTGGATGCCTTTTATTTCTTCTTCTTGTCTAATTGCAATGGCTAATACTTCCAGTACTATGTCGAACAGGAGTGGTGAGAGGGGGCATCCCTGTCTTGTTCCTGTTCTTAGGGGAAATGGTGTTAGTTTTTGTCCATTGAGTATGATGTTGGCTGTGGGCCTGTCATATATGGCTTTTATTATGTTGAGGTATGATCCTTCTACTCCTGCCTTAACTGTGAGTTTTTATCAAAAATGGGTGTTGAATTTTGTCAAATGCTTTTTCTGCATCAATTGATATGACCATGTGGTTTTTTTCTTTCAATTTGTTTATGTGATGTATCACGTTTATTGATTTGCGGATATTGTACCATCCTTGCATCCCTGGGATAAATCCTACTTGGTCATTGTGTATGATCTTTCTGATGTACTGCTGGATCCGATTTGCTAAGATTTTGTTGAGGATTTTGGCATCTATGTTCATGAGGAATATTGGCCTGTAATTCTCTTTCATTGTGTTGTCTTTACCTGGTTTTGGTATTAGGGTGATGCTGGCTTCATAGAATGAGCTTGGAAGTGTTCCTTCCTCTTGAATTTTTTGTAGTAGTCTGAGGAGGATAGGTTTTAGTTCTTCCTTGAATGTTTGGTAAAACTCCCCTGTGAAGCCAAAGGTTTATTTTTCAAGATTACTTTGCCTCAGCGAAGGTAACAACTCTCAAAGGATCCACGTGACCCAGGGACATTAATTTAACACTAGTTTGTCCCAAAGGTACCAGTTCTCCTCTCTGCGAAAATGAGGAGCAGGCACAGCGTAGACTGCTCTGGGGAACAAGTAAAGATAAATTGAATCCTTGGATGTTTTAGCAGCTAGAGTTGACCTTTGCCTTCCTGCCAACTGCATGAGGCCTGTTCCCTCATCTTACTCCCCACATGCAAGTCAAAGTCACTATTTGGCCTTGAGAAGCCTTAACGGGGAACCGTGACAGCATGCACATGGGGAGCGAAGGCCGCTCTTGTTCGTGCCGTTCCCCTAATCTTCAGGGGGGTGCGGGCACTCTGCGGTCTCTGACGGTGGTTTCACTTGCCCCAGGTGATCACTCGGAATGAGCTCATGCTGGAGGAGACGAGGAACACCATCACAGTGCCCGCCTCCTTCATGCTCCGCATGCTGGCCTCCCTGAACCACATCCGGGCCGGTAAGAACTGTCAGCCTCTGTTCCAATTGGGATTATGTCTGAACAACATGGTATTGCTTAGCATTTATATATAGAACTTCCTTATGTCATGAAATGGAGGCAGCCCATTAGCACAGAAACTCATGTCCTCATAAACCTGATTATTGGAAAGCATCACAATGAAAGACAGTCCCCTGAAAACATACCCACTCTGCTTCTCCTCTGAGTGGAGGCTCCTGCACAGGCCTTGTCATCATAAACGCCTTCAGCGGCCCATTCGCTCCCAGTCGGCAGAGCCCAGACAAAAGAAAGGTAGCATGGTAGGAAGGCTGAACAGGCACCTCTCTGTTTTCTTCATCATTGTCTTGTCTTAAGTGATAAACTGAGGCTCAGTGTCACAGATAACACAAAATGCATATATTATAACTACTATTCAGGAAGGAATTCAAAGGCTGTGTTCATAACAAGATAAAGTTCCAGTATCCATTATAGACAAGATTATATTCACCAAACAAGTGTTCGTCACTGTTCACTGACCTCATGAGTAAAATGTCCCATATGCTGAGCATCACCTGTCAGTTCATGACAACAGTGACCACCCTCATGGAGCTCCAGCCCTTCTCAGCAGGCTTTCTGTAATGACTTACCCAGGCCACACCACTGATACACGGTAAAGCCATCTGTAGGGTTTTAAAAAATGTGTGTTTACAATGACATCCATTTTCAAAGTTAATAGTGTTGTTTCCTTTATTTTATAAAATTTCCCAGTAGAGGCAAAAATTAGGTATGTACACAGTGATGAACTGAATTTTACATAATGGTGTGTTGAGTTCTATACATTTTAAGCAGCTTTAAATAAAAGGCATTGAAGATTATCTTAATCATAACCCTAAAAGTATTTCTTTTAGTGAGTCTCATATCTGTTTTCCAGACCGGTTGGAGGGTGACCGATCAGAAGGCTCCGGTCAGGAGAATGAAAACGAGGATGAGGAATAATCAACTCTGAGTGGCCAGCACTTGGGATGTTTTGATATTTGTATAAGACACTTATATTTTTTTCTTTACAGAGCTTCAGTGCAATTTTAAGGTTATGGTCTTTGATGTTTTCCCTTTTGCGGGGGATAACCTGACATTGGTGTGGAGTGATTGTGTGCATGAACTTGGGAGAGTGTGTGAAATAAAACTAGCAGAATGTTATAAACCCTAGTTGCCATGTATGAGGAGTGCTAGCAACGAAAGTGCAATACTGCCAGTCTCCACACGGGGGAGCTTGGATCAACGTTGAAGAGCAGTTCTCATGGTAGACACAATGTTGGTTCAAATAAATTTCTACACTTGCCATTTGCATGTTTGTTGCTTTCTAATTAAAGAAGCTGGTTGTGTAAGATCTCCTGAATTTGACATTGTATTTGATGCCTTGTTACCCTGGCCCCTATTTTCCAGTCTTTCCTGTCACATAAGACTGTTTCTCTAGTCTTCTCTAGTTGTAATCATCTTTTCTGTTTTGACTTGTGTGTGATAGAATCACAGAGAAGAGAATTATTCATGTCTCATTCCAAAGTACTTCATCTTCACCACCAGTCATCATCTTAATGGTCATTGAGACCGTGTTACCCACAGACAGGAGTCAGGGCAGCAGAGACCAGGGCGTCCGGGGTTCCCATGCTGTAGGAGCACAGGCTAGTTCTGGGGGCCCTGGCTTCCGGTCCTCCTGACTGCAGCTAGATTTCAGCTGAAAGCTGTGACCATCCTGTCTTCTACATCCTGGCCTTCCTTAACTCCAGTGTCCACCTCCACTCCAGCCATCAACACCCCGGCCTGTATCTTATCGGTTATGACCTGAATCTGTTCCTGTAGACTTAACCCTTCAGTCACCCTCCCGGCCCACTTTTAAATTGTCATCCTGTTCTTCGGCTGGCCCATGAGGCTCATAGGTGTAGCCAAGCAGAGCATCCCTCTCCAGCGTGGAGACGGGGGCCGCGCCTCCCCAGGTGGCTGCACACCTGGCGCCCTGCTGTGATGGCAAGTTGGCTTGTGGAGAGAAGAAAAGCCCCTTCCGTTGGCTCAGTCACTGGAGCGGGACTTCCACACCCAGCCCTTGCCCTGGAGGCACACGCGTCTCCACGTTAGAGAACGAGGTAAGTGGGTGAAGAGAAGGAATTAGAGTTTTGGCCAAACAGGGCAGCTGACTTGGCTACAGATGACTTCGGGAAAGTGCCAGGGTCTTAGTTTCTGGTTCCCAATTAGCTGTGTGACCTGGGGCCCCCTGACTTGTCTGGGCTCCTGCTCCATCTCCCGTGAAGTGGAGGTGATCAGATTTGCACACCCATGTCCCAGGGGCTGAGCTAGGCCCCATGACACCCGGAGGATGAGGGGTTTTACAGTGCAACTGAAAACGCTACTGTCAGCACGTCCAGGACATCATTTCTCACTGAAATGAAGCAAAAGCAGGGATTCTTAGAGAGTGTTGGAAAGCTGGCAGGACAGAGGCTAATGGAGGACTCCATCGGGTCAGGAGTAACTGGCAGGAAAAGCAACCGAAAATCAAAATGGTCTGTGTACCCTCTGGGCAGGATGGGACGGGGGGGGGGGGGGGGGGCAGAAGTATATGGGGCCTGACCTTTCTGCTCAGTTTTGCTCAGAACTGCTGTAAAGCTGTGATTTTTTTAAGTGATTTTTTATTGATTTTTAGAGACGAAGGGCGAGGGATAGAGGAACATCAATGAGAGGAACATCATTGATTGGCTGCCTCCTGCACACCTCCTACTGGGGATCGAGCTCACAACCTTGGGCATGTGGCTTGAGTGGGAATCGAACCATGACCACCTGGTTCAGAGGTCGACACTCAACCACTGAGCCACAATGGCTGGGCTATTATTTTTTAATGGTATTTGTCAAAGGAATTAGTTCTCCTACTTGAGGTGATTTTGTAGAGTTTGGTGTTACATAGGCACGGGGCGGACCAGACCACAGTCCAGGGGCAGAAAGAGGACATGTTCCGGGCAGAGTTAATAGGTCCCGGCCATGGCGCAATGCATGCTGGGGGCAGGACGTTAGGCAGCTGGACCCGGAGCTCCCCCACACACTCAGCAAAAGGAACTGCCTTCAGTTGTGGCCAGTGAGGGCTCAGGGGGAGGTGCTGGGTTTTATGCCCTGAGGTGGCTTCCAGTCACTGATGATCACCACACCCCCTTGAACTTGGTTATGGGATGAACATGTGGAGAGCCGCTATAATGTCTGGGTTAGGAGTATTCTGTATTGGACAATATTCCATGAATCTCACTGTCTTGGTATTTTGAAAGCACATGGACGGATGTACCCCAGGTGACTGGTATGGATCACACCCATCCTCCCCCCACCCCCAAATCTGCAATAGTCGGTCCTTCCTGCTCAGTCTCCTTCCTCTTTTTAGCCCTTGGGAAGGGGGAAGGGGCTGTGGGAAACGGGGATATGGGGTAAAGGGGGAACACCCAAAACCCACAGTCCACAAGTCCAAGTACAAATTCACAATGTGCCAAAAACATTTCATCAGGTGAACACAGCTATGCTAAATGCACTTTTACTTGTTTATAAATACTGATTTATAATAACCCTAAACATTGTCTTGTTTTAAAAAAACAAAACAAACATTTCAAGTGAAATGTATTTCCGGACTAGCTTGTCCTTGTTTTGTTTGAAGGTTGGTTTTTAACCACGTTTGCATCCAGGGTTCCATCGCCAGAACACAGACCAGGACTCCCCCCCGCAGGTCCACAGCTGGACCCCTGCGCCCACGCCAGCGGCTCCTCCCACTGCCCTGGGGTGGCCCTGCCTGCCCGGGCCCCAGGAGGGTCCTTGCCCCGGGAGGGGCCGACTGGCCTGTGATTGGTGACATTGCAAAATGGTGGTGTCAAAAGGAACAGCAAGTGGCCTGGAGTTCCTAAGCTGTTACTACTGCTCAGGAGCAGCTTCCTGGGGGAAGGAACAGCTCTGTGTTGGGTCCTAAAATAACGCGGAGCAAAATGGTGCCCCTGCTGGCCTGCAGGCGGGTGCGTCTGTGCTACGAATCCTTCCGGGGAATCCAACCATGTCCCCTGCGTCTGTGGTTTCTGCAGGCCCGGCCAGCAGGTGTTCAGCCTCCAGGCACTCACTGTTACCAGCTCTTCCTCCACAGAAAGCCCGCCGGCCTGCCTCCTGGTAATGACTTCACTGTCCCTCGTCCTCGACCTGCACAGCTGACTCCTTCCTCAGTCACGTGGCCAAGACCCGGCACTGGGCCCTGACGCTGGTGTCCTGCACCTCGAGACCATGGACACTTCACTTCCTCGGTCCCCCTGGGTTCTGTGTCTGTCCCCAACCCAGGAGCGTCCACTCCGCCGCCTCTTGTCCATTTACGACTCAGCCATTTACCTTTGCTTCAGGTGAAAACGGTGATTTTCCTCCGGTCCCCCAGGGTTCACCTTGGGGTTCTGCATGCGCTGGGTAGCAGCATGGACTCCTGTCCCTGCACTGACTTCCTCAGGGTGGAGATGGGAGACTCTGAACCCAAGAGCCACCGCCACGCAGTCACTGTCCCGCGGGACGGAGCTGGCCGCAGGGCCCAGGCCGCGTCTCCTCCGGGTGTCTCTTCTGGGCCGGGAGGTTGAGCTGGTGCCGTGGCACGGGGTCTGCACCAGGCCCCAGGCCATCACCTTGGACAGACACTGTGCTCCTCAGACCTCTGCAGCTCCCAACGGCAGACACCTCCCCCCTCCTCTCGCGCTCCCCTTCCTCACCACTTCCCTTTCATCCCCGGTCTTGTGCTGCTCAGCAAACAGGACCATTCCCACTGCAGAAGCCTCAACACCTCTGACCTAGGATAACAGCTCTGGAGGGGTCCCTATGAGACAAGAATAGGACACTCGCCTAGTCATGGACAAGACCCCAGTGGCTCAGCACCACTGTGTCCCACATGTGGTGCCGGGAGCTTTAATCCACGTAACCTCCCGTGGGGGGGCCTGCATTCTACGTCCCCACAAGAAACGGGTTATGAAACCTCACAGATGAGAAAACCGATGCAGAAAACTGAACTGGCCCAACAACACCCAACTACTCAGCAGCCGCGTGGGTCCGAACCCAGAACTCAGCCAAGTCCGCACTGTTCCTGTGTAGCTCACGTGCATGGACACGGACATGGAATGAGAGCCCTCAGGGGTCTAACAGAAGCCGCACAACAGGCACAGAATTCTCCACCGTCAGGCACACAGTAGGCGCTCAGCACCTGCCAGTTCTAGGCTTGCCCTCATAGCCACGCACCCTCAGTTCCTCCCAGACAGGACAGTGGGGCCAGAGCTGGACACCAGAGTATCCTGGGCTCCGTCCAGACACACGCCTCATGTGCAGGTGTCTCAGCAAACCCTAACAGGCTAAGATCTCTTGCTGCACGGAGCACGCTTCTTCCCTCCTGCCACCCCCTCCGCCCCCGCTCCCTGGCCGACTGCAAATACTGATTAGTCTCACTGGTCGCTCAGGTGGACAGAAGCCACAGCAGCTCCTGAGATGAGAAAAACGCGTTAGCACCAGGTGGCCCTGGTCTTGGTCCTCAGCCCTGCCTCTTGGCAGTTGCTTAAGATCTCATAGCTGAGCAGGAGCAGAACCTGCCGCCCCAAAAGGGGTCACACGTGTGAGCAAGCTGGGTGGTCCTTCCAAGGCTGAGGACCAAGGTGGAGACAAGTTCAAAGCCAGAGCTCTGCTGAGGCAAGCTTTCAAGTGTTTCCTTAGCGCTCCCCACTGCTGCCACCTGGTGGCTAAGGTGCTGAACTCCAGTCTTCCCAGGCCAGGAAGCCCAGTGCTGGGGGGTGGGGATCCCAGTGCCTCTGGGTCATAACAGCCCCAAGCCTGGAATCTGGGCGGGCACAGGAGAGGGACCATCAAGTGGCGATCGCAATGAAAGGAGCAGAGATGGCAACAGCCCTAAACTCGGTCCTGTCAAAACCAGAGGCGCAGGACAGAGGTTGTGGACAAGTGGCCAACAGTCCCACCTGCCACTGTCCATGTAGCCACTGCACAGAGGTATGAAGCGATGGGCCTGGTTCCAACCTGCACTAAGGGCAGGGTCCTCAGAAACGCCTCTCGGGAGCTGCAGAACGGAGGGGCCTTCCCACCCCTCTCCACCCACCCCGCTCCCTGCTCCCTGCTCCCGTCCTCCTTCTCCCAGGCTTCATCGGCAACCGAATTCTCGATTATGCAAAATATGGTTCTAGCTGCCAGATACCCTCCGAGGCTTGGCTCACACTGCCGCCTCCACAGAGCTACATGGAACAGTCACCTCCCCCGGAGCTCACAGTTCCCTCTACAATCATTACTCGGCTTTGCTGTCTACCAGCATCCGTATCCCCCAGGTCCGTCCCTAAATGCGTGTGTAAACACGTTCATGCCATTGCTCACGGGCCGAGCTCGGTGCTCTGCACAGGTGACGTGCGGGGCCTGGAGATGAATAAATGAATGGGCCTCAGTAGAAAAAAAGGAAACAGTGAGTCCTTCTGTGACATGTGGCATTTCCAGATAAGTTTAGATTCAATCCTAGTAAATCCCAGCTAGTCTGCGACCAGCCAGTGCGGACCTGGGGGTCTCAGGACTCTCCCTCGAGCCCGCCCAGTGCAGCCCAGGGACACGCACTCCAACCCCCGGCTTCCCAGCCAGATGTGCTGCATCAGAAAGGCCTCACCAGCGAGCCCTAGGTCACGCCAACGAAGCGGTGAAGGTGGTCGCCCTGCTCCACCTTTGTGCAGGCCGGTGGTCAGGAATATGGTCCTTTACAACCAACAAGTGCTAGGGAGATTAGAGAAAAGAGAGTAAAGCGCTCTGAGGAATGCCACGGAGTGAGAGCAGCCGGACTTGCCCGTCTCCTTAGCAGAACCCGCAGGTGAAGATGCCTCTGCTCCTTCCCTCCCACCAGAACCGACAGCTGGCCTTAAGCTAATCGCCACGAAGGTGCACGCTCCCAGGTCTCGGCAAAGGTCTTTGCAAACTGCAGACTGAGGACCAGCTCCAAGGGTTGGGGTGAGGTGTAACCACGTGAACCCACTGCCCCCCGGGAGGCGTCTCTCCTCCACGCTGGCCCCTTGCAGGCCGAATTCTGAGCAGACAAGCCGGGGAGCCCGCACACCCGGGCCTGCAGTCTCTGTCCACAGTCACGAAGAAGCTGTGCCAACATAGGCCCGTGGGTCCCTTTTCTTTTCCTATCTCTACCTTACAGTGAACATCAGAGATCGCAGCTGGAAATGATCTTGGAGACCATTCACTCTGACGGCCCACTCCCTCATCCCATCTCCCGGGCTGCACAGAATGGTGCTAGGAAGCGCAGGTGACGAGAGGAAGAGGAGGTGGAGCTGGGCGGGCGTGCAGGTGCTGGCTCTGGCCGGCCGGCCGCGTGGTTTCTATTCTGCCTTATCTCCTGTCCATCAAACTTTACACTGGAGTCCGGAGTCCTCCGTGAAGGGAGTTCCTCCAGCGACAACAGTGTCTCCCCTGCTGTTAGGCACCACGGCCATCCAGGCGTGTCCTAGCGAACAGTTTCATTCTTGGAAATGAAGCATCTGCCTTCCGCTCCTTCCTCCTGTCTGTTATAGTGGCTTCTCTCTCCCTTCTTTCGAAACAGCAAAGAATCAGTGAAGAGGGAGGTGGCCTGGGCTGCCCCCGGGAGCACTAGCAGGTGGCTCCACCGATGCCAGGTCATAACCAGCACGGAGGCCTGGAACTGCGTGGGGGCCCTGCTCTTGGCTTCTCTAGGGACCCCACATGGCCTGCTTCTACCTTGCAGAAACCTGGGGTGCCCTCCGCCCCAGTGCACTGGAAGAGCCCCCCTCCTGAGCCTCTCGGGGGGACAGTGAGTAGCAGATGTGAACAAAAGAACGTGACCTGCCCTGGGGTTCCCCCAGCTGGTCTGTAGGCCCCACCGGTGCCCCACCACCCAGAAAGCCAAGCCACACCTCCATTTTCTCTGCTTTGTGCTTTTGATGCGTCTGGTCCCATCACTGGGATCTAGGAGAGCCCACGGGTGGGCTCACAGACACGGAGTTCCTGGCCTGGGCGCAGTTCTCGGTGTTTGTTCTGGTGGCTGCACCCCAGATGCCGTTCCTGCCCGAGTCCCCAGGGCCCCGGCTCGGTGGGCTGTGGGCCTCCACCTGGGGCCCAGGCCAGCCCGCGGCCCTCATTTCTGTTCCGCAGCTGGAACGCTCCCCTCCTCGATGCTCTGCAGCGGGAGCCTCTGGCTCCCGGGGGCTCGGGTGCCTCCGCTGCCCCCAAAGCCGGCCCCTGGGATGGTCCGCGCCACCATCAAGACCCCAGGCAAGGCCTCCTCCCCAAATAGGTTGATTTTGGCTTCCGCCTCGATGGCTTTGGCCAGGCTGTCTGCGTAACTGTCCAAGGAGGTGTGCACGTCGGCCTTCACGTGGAGGATGGGGTTCTTGGCAGCTTCTGAGGGAAAGACAGAGCAAGGTCAGCGAGGGGCCAGACCCCGGTGGAGGGCGCGCATTTCCCAGTCTGGTTCCCGCCTAGGGCCTGGGAAAACTAGAAGGAGCTAGCTAACCTCACATCCTCTGCAGAGGGAGGGTCATGGTGCACCTCTTTCTCCATGGGGTTTCTGTGATAAACCATTCTCCCCAAGATGCTTAGCCTAGGCCCGGCTCACAGAAAAGGCTTGATCAATGTTTTCTATTAACCACATTCACATTTTACATCTTTGGAAGAGGTCTTTGGCCGTTCGGCTCCCTGGGGTGTGTGATGTGGGTGGTTCGAGACTTCCACGGGCTGAGTGTGGGTCTGCTCGCCCCCTCCCCCCAGAGCCTTCTTACTGTGAACCTCACTGCCTACTTTCCTCCTGACACGTCGCGGGAACAGCGCACCCCCTACTCCTCACATGTTCTGAGCAGGTGACTTCCACCCACTCTCGCGGGGGAGAGTGGAGGGGCCCTGGGCTCGGCCTCCCTGCACTCATCTGGGAGGATGGAGTCAGTCTGAGCACCTGTGTGTCTACGGAGAGTGCGACAGCCCCTGCTGGCCCAGCTTAAACGCTTCCAGATCCAATGGCTGGGAAGCCCAAGGACTGGAGGGAGACTGCAGGGTTGGGAGTGGCACGGGCGGGGGGCGGGGGGAGGCAAAGGTGGGAGCCCTGGTGTGCTGGGTGAGGACGGATGAGCCAGGAGTTCTCCTAAGACCACTCCCTTTCCCTGTGTTGTCCAGAAGCTGTCAGCCACAGACACCAACCTTTGATCTTTTCTACTTCATCCTCGAACGTCACCGAGCTCCTCCTCTTGGGTGGGCAAGTGGAGTGGAGGGGCGGCTGGTCATCGGACGTGTAGTCTTCAAGCAGCATCACGTCCGTCCCTAAGACCAAGGGCAGGTTGCACACATGGAACGGCCGTCCCAAGTCCTCCTCGCCACCTCCTCCCCCCCCCCCCGCCACTCTCAACCCCCTTGCATCCCTCTCCCCCATTTATTCCAACCCACAATCCAGTGCAAGAGCTGCTCTGCAGCATGTGCCCAAGAAGTGAACACTGTGCCATCCTATTTCAGGGACTTGGCAGCCACCACGGGGCCTCTTCTGACACACAAGTTACAGCAGTGCTACGCAGAGCTGGGTGTTCCGGACCACAGCGGGCACACGCAGTGTCCAGTGGGCCGGACCTGGCTGGGGGAGGGGAGAAGGGCTGCGTGGGAGAGACCGCTCCAGTAAAAGAGCCTTGTGTTCTGAGTGATTCCTCTTACAGTTTGAATTTCTATCAATAATTACTTTAAATGTAAATGGATTACACAATCTACAAGAATAAACTCAAAATGGATTAACAGCTTAAATGTAAGGCCTGAAAGCATAAAACCAGAAGAAAAATAGGCTGTAAACACTTTGTGGTTAAAATATGTTGCACTAAGTAAACATTTAGAAAATTGTTTTATTTTTCCATTACAGTTTACATTCAACGTTACATTCGTGTTAAGTGTATGGCACAGTTGGCACACATTTACATAACTTACAGTAAGTCTTGCACCTACCTGCCCTCACTCACAGTTACTGCAATATTACTACGAGAGGCCTGGTGCACAACATTCGTGCACTGGGGAGTCGGGGGGGGGGGGCAGGTCCCACAGCCCAGCCTGCGCCCTCTCGCCCTCTCGCAGTCTGGGACCCCTCCAGGGATGTCCAACTGCCGGCTTAGGCCTGCACCCCCCCACACACCCCCAACAAGGCAGAAGAGGCTCTCGCCACCACTGCTGCACTCGCCATCCGTGAGCCTGGCTTCTGGCTGAGTGGCACTCCCCCTTTAGGAGCACACTGACCACCAGGGGTCAGCTCCTGCATTGAGCGCCTGCCCCCTGGTGGTCAGTGCGCATCATAGGACCAGTCGTTCTGCCGTTGGGTCGATTTGCATATTAGGCTTTTATTACATAGGATGTCCTCTTGCTGCACACCACAGTCCCAACTAGTGCTATGACTGCCAATTTGTACTTCTTAACCTCCTCACCTTTTTCACCCAGTCCAACCCCCCTCCCATCTAGAAACCACCAGTTTGTCCTCTGTCCCTATGAGTTTGTTTTTGCGTTGGTTGGTTGTTTTTTTAGATTCCATATAGGTGAAATCATATGGTATTTGTTTTTCTCTGTCTGACTGATTTCACTTAGCACAGTTCCCTCCAGGACCATCCATTTCATCACAAAGGATAAGATTTCATTCTCTTCTTTGGCTGAGTAATATTCCATTGTATATATCTGTACCACATCTTTATCCAATCGTCTATCAATGGATACTTAGGCTGCGCCCATATCTTGGCAATTGTAAATAATGCTGCAATGAAAATGGGGGTACATATATATTTTCAAGTTAATGTTTTTGGTTGTTTTTTATACTAGAGGCCCGGTGCACAAAAATTTGTGCACTCGGGGGGAAGGTGGGGTGTCCCTCAGCCCCACTTGTGCCCTCTCACAGTCTGGGACCCCTCAGGAGATAATGACCTGCTGGCTTAGGGCTGCTCCAAGGTGGCAGAGGGCAGGCCCAATCCCTAGGTGCAGCCCCTGGTCAGGCTCAGAGCAGGGCTGATTGGGGAGTTGGGGTGCCGCCCCCTGTCATGCACAGAGCAGGGCAGATCAAGAGGTTGCGATGCCACCCTCAGTCACGCTCACGGTAGGGCCGACTGGGGGGTTGGGGCACCGCCCTCTGTCAAACTCAAAGCAGGGTCGATGGGGAGGTTGCGGCGCCACCCCCTGTCACGCACAGAGCAGGGCCAATCAGGGGGTTGGGGCGCTGCTCCCTGTCACTCACAGAGCAGGGCCCATAAGGGGGGTTGGGGCTCCGTACCCTGTCATGCACAGAGCAGGGTCGATCAGGGGGTTGGGGCGCTGCCCCCTGTCACACTGATCCCGGTGCTGGGAGGCATATTACCCTTTTACTATATAAGATAAAGGCCTGGTGCACGGGTGGGGGCCGGCTGGTTTGCCCTGAAGCGTGTCCTGGATCAGGGTGGGGGTCCCGCTTGGGTGCCTGGCTAGCCTGGGTGAGGGGCTGATGGCTGTTTGCAGCTGGTCACACCCCCTTCAGGGTGGGGGTCCCCACTAGGGTGCCTGGCCAGTCTGGGTGAGGGGCTGAGGGCTGTTTTCAGGCTGGCAGGTGACTGAAGCTCCCAAACGCTCCTTTTTTTCTTTTTTTTTAAATTCTGGGCCAGCTTTAGCTCTGAGGCTTGGCTCCAGCTCTGAGGCCTCAGCTGCTGAAAGCAGGTATCTGGTTTGTTTGGGTTCTATAATTGAAACACTGTTTCAACTCTAGCTCTGAGATCCCGGCTGGCTGAAAGCAGGTTTCTGGGGTTTTGTTTAGCTTCTATATTTGTAACAATGTTTCAAACTGCAAGCTCAGAGGCTGGCAGCAGCAGGCGGGGAACGTTGGCTTCCTCCATCACTGAAGCAAGCAAGCCTCGTGTTTGCTTCAAGCTGCCTGGCTGCCGGCCGCCATCTTGGCTGGCAGTTAATTTGCATATCACCCTGATTAGCCAATGGGAAGGGTAGCAGAGGTACAGCTAATTACCATGTTTCTCTTTTATTAGATAGGATACTCAGAAGTGGAATTGCTGGTTCATATGGTAGTTCTATTTTTAATTTTTGAGAAACCTCCATACTGTTTTCCATAGTGGCTGCAACAATGTATAATCCCAGCAAGAGTGCACGAGGCTTCCCTTTTCTCCACATCCTCCCCAACACTTGTTTGTTGATTTATTGATGCTACCCATTCTGACAGGTGTGAGGTGACACCTCATTAGGGTTTTAATTGGCATTTCTCTGATGATTAGTAATGTTGAGCGTCTTCCCATAAGTCTGTTGGTCATTTGTATGTCCTCTTTGGAGAAATGTCTATTCAGGTCCTCTGCCCAGTTTTTAATTGGATTTTTTTTGTAGTTGTTGTTTGTTTTTTGGTAAGTTATATGAGTTCCTTATATATTTTACTTATTAACCTCTTTATCAGATGTATCATTGCTGAATATTTTCCCCATTAGCTAGGCTGTGCAAAACCTTTTTAATTTTATGTAGTCTCATTTGTTTATTTATTTATTTTGTTTCCCTTGCTAGAGGAGACATATTCAAAAAGATATTACTATGAGCAATGTTAAAGTTTTTACTGACTATTTTTCTTCTAGCTTTATGGTTTCAGACCTTACATTTAAGCCTTTAATCCATTTGAGTTTACGCTTATAGACTGTGTGATCCATTTACATTTAAAGTAATTATTGATAGGTAATGTAGTTATTGCCATTTTATTATTCATATTTTTTATTATTCATGTTTTTATCTTTTTTCTTCTTTTGCTTAAAGAAGTCCTCTTAACATTTCTTATAATATTAGTTTGATGGTGATGGACTCCTTTAGCTTTTCTTGTCTGTGAAGCTCTTTATCTGACTTTCAATTCTAAATGATAGCTTTGCTGGGTAGAGTAATGTTGGTTGTAGGTCCTCCCTTTTCATCACTTTGAAAATTTCTCATGCCACTCCCTCTGGCCTGTAGTGTTTCTGTTGAGAAATCAGCTGACAATCTTATGGGAGCTCCCTTGTAGGTAACTAACTGCTTTTCTCCTGCTGCTTTTAAGGTTCTTTGTTTTTAACCTTTGCCATTTTAATTATGATGTGTTTGGGGAGGGCCTCTCTGGATTCATCTTGTTTGGGACTCTTGGCACTTCATGGACTTGTATGTCAATTTCCTTCACCAGGTTAAGGAGTTTTCAGTCATTATTTCATCAAATAGATTTTCAATTCCTTGATCTCTCTCTCTCTTTCTTCTTCTAGTACCCTTATGATGCAAATGTTACACTTGATGTTGTCCCAGAGGTACCTTAAATTTTCCTCTTTTTAAAAAGTTGTTTCTGCCTGGCCAGTGTGGACCAGTGGTTGTGCATCAATCTATGAACCAGGAGGTCACAGTTCAATTCCTGGTCAGAGCACATGCCTGGTGTTATGAGCTCAATCCCCAGTAGGGGGCAGAAGGGAGGCAGCTGATCAATGATTCTCATCATTGATGTTTCTATCTCTCTCTCCCTCACCCTTCCTCTCTAAAATCAATAAAAAAAGTATTTAAAAATAAATTAATTAGTTAAAAATAAATTATTTCTTTCTGCTATTCTGAGTAGGTGTTTTCTGCTACTTTGTTGTCCAAATTACTGATTCAATCTTTTTCTTCCTCTAATCTGGTGTTTTTCCCTCTAATATTTTCTTCATTTCAGCTATTATATTCTTCATTTTTGACTGGTTCTTTTTAAAAATCTTTATTGTTGAAAGTATTGCAGATGTCTGCTTTTTTCCTCCATTGACCTCTCCACCCCGGTCCCTCCTCCTCTGCAGACCTTCACTGCCCTAGTGTCTGTGTCCATGGGTCATGCATATATGCATATAAGTTCTTTAGTTAATCTCTTCCACCCTTCCCTCTGAAATATATCAGTTTGTTACATGCTTCCATATCTCTGGTTCTATTTTGTTCATCAGTTTATTTTGCTCACTTGATTCCACATGTAAGTGAGATCATGTGATACTTGTCTCTCTCTGGCTGGCTTATTTTACTTAGCATAATACTTTCTGGGTCATTCCATGATGTCTCAAAGGGTAATAGATCCTTCTTTTTTATAGTTGCATAGTATTCCATTGTGTAGATGTACCACAGCTTTTTTATCCACTCATCTACTGACGGGCACTTGGGCTGTTTCCAGATCTCAGCTATTGTAAACTGTGCTGCTATGAACACAGGGGTTCATACATTCTTTCTGATGGGTGTTTCGGGTTTCTTAGGATATATTCTTAGAAGTGGGATCCCTGGGTCAAATGGCAGTTCCATTTTTTAATTTTTTGAGGAAACTCCACACTGTTTCGCATAGTGGTTGTACCAGCCTGCATTCCCACCAGCAGTGCACTAGGGTTCCCTTTTCGCCACATGCTCCCCAGCACTTGTTAGTTTGTTGTTGATAGTCATTCCAGTAGGTGGGAGGTGATGTCTCATTGTGGTTTTAATTTACATTTCTCTCATGATTACTGACGTTTTCATATGTCTCTTGGCCATTTGTATGTCCTCTTTGGAAAATTGTCTATTCAAGTCTTCTGCCCATTCTTTAAATTGGATTGTTTGTGTTCCTTTTGTTGAGTTGTATGAGTACTTTATATATTTTGGAAATTAGCCCCTTATCAGATATATCATTGGCAAAACACGGCCTCCTGTACAGTGGGTTCCCTTTCATTTTGATGCTGGTTTCCTTTGCTGTGCAGAAGCTTTTTAGTTTGGTACAGTCCCATTTTTGTCGTCCTTTGTTTCTCTTATCCTAGGCGATGTATCTGTGAAAATTCTACGTGAGATGTCTGATATTTTGCTGCCTACATTTTCTTCTAGAATTTTTATGATTTCACAACTTACATTTAAGTCAAGTCCATTACCCATTCTGACTTTATCCTTGTGTACGGTGTAAGTTGGTGGTCTAGTTTCTTTCTTTCTTCTTTCTTTCTTTCTTTTTTTTTTTTTTTTTTTTTTTGGCATGTACCTGTTCAATTTTCCCAACACCAGTTATTAAAGATACTGTATTTACTCCATTGTATGCTCTTGTCTTCATTGTCAAATCTTAATAGAGCATATGGCTTGGGTCGATTTCTGGGCTTCCTGTTCTGTTCCATTGGTCTGTATGCCTGTTCTTGTGCCAGCACCAGGCTGTTTTGATGACGGTGGCTTTGTAATATGACTTGGTATCTGGTATTGTGATCCCTCCGCCTTTGTTGTTCTTTGTCCAGATTGCTGCAGCTGTTCAGGGTCTTTTTTGTCCACATAAATGTTTGGAGTGTTTGTTCGAGATTTGTGAAATAAGCCGTTGGTATTTTATGGGGACTGCATTGAATCTACAGGTTGCTTTGGGTACTGTGGCTATTTTATTGATGTTAAGTCTATCAATCCATGAACACGGTATATTATTCCACTTCTTTATATCTTTTTCTACAATATCCTGTAGTTTTCCACGTAAGGGTCCTTTACCTCCTTGGTTAAGTTTATTCCTAAGTATCTTAATTTTTTTGTTGTTGCAATGGTAAAAGGGATCGGTGTTTTTAGTTTCTCTTTCCGAGAGATTATTGGTGTTTAAAAATGCCACCGATTTCTGGCTGACTGGTTCTTTTTTATGTTTTTCAACATCTTTGTTAGAGTTCCCACTGAGTTCATCTAATCTTCCCCTGAATTACTGAGCATCCTTTTAACCAGTGTTTTGAATTCTGTACCTGGGAGATTTTTTGCCTCCATTTCATTTCATTCCTTTTCTGGAGTTTTGCCCTGTTCTTTGGGACCTGTTTCTTTGTCTCCCCATTTTGGCTGCCTCCCTGTGTTTGTTTCTATATATTAGCTAAGGCTGCTATATCTCCCAGTGTTTGCAGGATAACCTTAGGTAGTAGGTGTCCTGAGAGGCCCAGTGGTGCAGCCTCATTGGTCACCTGAGCCAGGTGCTCCAGGGGTGTCCCTTGAGTAGGCTGTGCATACTCTCCTGTTGTCGTTGAGCCTTGATTGCTGTTGGCATGTTAGTGGGTGGGGCTGGCCTCGGGCCGACTCCATGACTCCAGCGGATGAGCTATTGTGCAGGGCTGACCCCATGGGGTTGGATTCACTTTAGTGGGACTCTGGTCCCAGCTGAGTCCACCCTTTGGGTGTGTCATTTGTGGAAGTGGTTGGGTGGTGCTCTGGTGTGGTCCAAAGCTGACCACAGGGTGTGTTGATTCTGAGGCCTCTTGAGAGGACTCCAGTGTAGGCCCAGGTTGGCCCTGTCTGTGCCTGGCCTGGGGCCACCTGGTAGGAGCAAGTGATCTGCAGTTGGTAGCTACCTGAGAGAGGCTATGCTGCAAACTGAGGCTGGCTGCCACGCTTGCTGGGCTTGGGGCCACTTAGCCAGAGGCACAGGCATGCAGTGGCCAGATGCTGCTTTTTGGGAGTTTGTGGACCTTTGAGAGATTTTAGGAAAGTCTGCAGCATGGGCAGAGCCCGGCTGCTTGTGAGGAACAGCCACCGGAAGAGGTGTGGGTGGTGGCACGGTGTGTGGGATGGGTCTCAGAGAGCCTCCTCGGGTGGTGAGGGGTGTGAGCCAGGTTGACGGAGACTCAGACTTGGTGCCTTTGCCTGTAGGCTGGGTGGGGTGAGGGCTCAACAAAGGAACAATGGCACCTGCTGGCACGTTTGTCCCAGAGAGAGCTGCCCCTCCAGACCTCGCCCAGAAACGAGACCATTTTGTTTCTCTGGTGTCTCCGGTGCTTTCTGAACTGCTTCCCTTCTCTGGAGCTCAGAGCAAGCGTTCGTGACCTCAGGTCCTTGAAGGGGACGCCTGCGTCTACAGCAGCCTTCCATGTCGCCCAGGTTGAGTCCCTGCTGATTTCACAGCCTGACATTGTGGGGGCTCCTCTTCCCGGGACAGATGCTCTGAGCTAGGAGCCCAGCATGGGGCTGAGGCCCCTCATGCCTCAGTGGGCATCCCTGCCACGGAGACATGCCTCCTGGTCCTTAGCCACTGCGTGTGGGCGTGGGACCCGCCATTCCACGTCTCCGCCCCTCCTGCCGGTCTCACTGTGGCTGCTTCTGTGTGTCCTCAGTCCCGGGAGTTCTGTTCGGCTGGCCCAGCTGGTTCTTCATGATGGCTGCTCTATCCTTTAGTTGTAATTTCTTTTTTACACTTTAGTTGTAATTTCTTTTTTACACTTTAGTTGTAATTTCTTTTTTACACTTTAGTTGTAATCTTCGTGTGGTTGTGGGAGGAGGGAGGGGAGTGTTTGCCTACCCTGCCATCTTGACCAGAAGCCTCTCACAATCTTTTGGCAGCAGAGTTACTGAGGAATAGTCCCCACGCCACAGCTCACCCACTCAAAGTGCACGGCCGGCCGCCTCCCCACCAGGCCGAGAGCTCCAGGAGGGTGGCTCACCACGGTTCTCTGGAGCCCAGTACAGTGTCTGGCCAAGGTAGGAGCTTGGCAGATATGTGTTGAATGAATGAATGTCACAGAGTCTCGGGACCTCTGCTGGCTGTCTGAGAAGGGGGCAGAGACCTTCCCTTCCCTCAAATCACACAAGGGACTCGGGGCTACAAGGGATGGTGTGGCCAGTGGCTCACCCTCTGGGTTGTCAGGTGAGGGAACGTGCTCAGGGAAGATTCTGCGACAGAAGGCCTGTCTCGGTGCCCGCCGTGCCTGCCCCCAGAGCCCCACGACACAGGCTCAGAGAAGAAACCTCGGTCAAGGCAGAGATCTACAGCTGCCGGCAGCGGCGATGGCAGCACAGAGCCCGGCGGCTGCTGCACCGCCCAGGACTCCACGCGGCACCCTTCAGGCCAGAGCCCTGGGCGGAAACGCCTGGTGCTTCTCCAGCCACGTGGAGCCCTGGACTGGTGGGGACACTGCCAGCCTCTGCCCCTGGCCCCCCGCCCCAGGGCCTGGTGAGAGCCCGAGAACACACTTGGCAGGGACAGATGTGGCACCTGCTTCCCACCAGCAGCCAGGGAGACCCTAACCGCACCGAGCCCTGGGGTGCACGGCCCCGGGGAAGACGGGGAGGATCTGTGGCGAGGTGTCTCTTCCGGGGACAGAGGCGCAGGGCATGTCACGGTAGTGACCCCTCGTCGGGGCTGCCCTCGATACAGCGATTGCCGTCCCTCATTCACAAATGGGGAAACCCAATGGTTAGCAAGACTGACCTCAGGCCACCTGACTCGCAGCCTCCCAGCCTGCACGGGCCGGGGATGAGGTCCCTGCTTTATAGAGAAGGAAACTGAGGCACAGAGGCTCTGCCGAGCTAAAAGCCACGACGGGGAGCCCTGCCTCTGGCCCCCGCTGCCCCCCCCCCCCGGCATCCCCCACTCCCGCTCCTTCCACCCGGCACAGGAGATGCGTGTCCACCAGTGCCCACACCGCGGCAGGTACACGCGGGAGGCACCTGCCGCAGGCTTACCTGAGTCCTGGGAGCAGCTGAAGCCCGTGTCCCCCGTGCTGCTGCTGTGCCCCAGGGGCTGTCCGCCTGCCATGAGCGCCGTGAGGTGTGGGGACAGGCCCAGGTCTGAAAGGCAAAGTAGGCACTGACTGCACAAACCGCGTCCGCCCCCACGGCCTTGACCCCCATTTCAGTCCCCTCCGCCTCACCTCCCACTCTCCTGTCCCCTCTGTTCTCCTGCAAAACACGCTCTCAAGCCATTGACAGACAGGAAGCCGTGGCGGCCGCCCTTCCCCACTGTGCCCTGTGCCCGCCCAGGGAGCCTGCATTGTGACATAGTTGACTGGGTCCCCAGAGGGGACCTCCCGTGACAACTCAAACCTACAAGGCAGGTGGGAGAGGAGATGAGAGGTGACCTGTCCCAGGTGACTTTCCGGTTAAACGTGGAACCTGGGTGTACATTACCTCCTGAAATCCCACCTGAATGCCAAAAAGGACTTTTTAAAAGGTCTGCACCCCAGAGCAGGAGAGAATGCTTGTCAGCTGGAAGGAGGGTGGGAGAGGCAGTGGGTGTGACCAGGAGAGAGCTGGGTTGGCGGTGGGAGAAGGCTGGTTCTCACCCTGCGCCCCCAAAGCCCAGGAAGGGGAGGCCCCGGGCGCCTCTACAGTCAGGTGGGCTCGACAGATGTCTCTACGGGAAGCAGTGGCCCCAGTGTCAGCAGGAGAGCGGGGGACAGGAACCGAGCCTGGCCTTGGAGACCCCAGACAGAGCCCCGAGGACCCTGAGAGCTGGACACGGTGCATTGGCTCGGCCGGACCTGCAGCCCAGACGCCTCCCACCAGGGCCTCGTTAGGAACCACAAAGGGAAGGCGCAGACCACAGGCCCCACTAGAAAGACAGAGATGGGGGGATAGCAAGGAAAGAAGAACAATGGGTCTCAGAGGAGACAAGGCAGGGAGCTTAAGAAAACAAAAAAGTTCGAATTTTCTCTGAAAGTTGAGAAAACAACGAATCCATGGACAAGAGGCTGGGGTGCCCAGGGAGGTAACAAAAAGGAGCTCTGAGGCATGAGAACCTGAGCTCACAGGTCACACTCTGATGTGACGAGGAAGCCCTACGGCCTGGCAGACGGAAGGGCCCACTGTGAGGGGCCACCGCTGTGCTCCCACAAACCCAGTAGGCGGAAACTCCAGTCTGTACCTTTCACCTGGCTTTTCTTTTTTCTTTTTTAATCCTCACCTGAGGATACCTTTTCCATGCATTTTCAGGGGGTGGCAGGTAGAGGGAAACATCAATGTGAGAGAGAGACATTGATTGGTTGCCTCCTGCATGGGCTCTGACTGGGGCTGGAGATCGAACCTGCAATCCAGGTTCATGCCCTTGACTGGGAACCGAACCTGCAACCCCTCCGTGCATGGGCCAGCCCTCCGGCCACTGAGCCACACCGGCCAGGGCTTCCCCTGGTTTCCTGCGAGGACAGACACACACTCTCCTCCGTTCTCTGGAGCCAAGGAGGACATGCGATGGTGGAGGGGAGGGCATGACATCTGGGAGTTGCACTCTTGCCCAGGGTTGGTGTGGTCGGCTGGGACGAGACCCCACACGACCCTCCCTCCAGGGTCTTGACCCCAGAGTGCGACTGTGTCTCAGCAGGAAGCCTGTCTTGGGAAGGAGGCCGGGGACCGTTCACTGCCAACGGGGAAGGCTGAGGCCACAGTGGGTTTGGACACCGTTTCTGAGGCTGCGGTGAAAGCCAGGAACGAGCCCCGGTCCCCACAGGGGGACTCCAGGAGCCAGATGAGCGTGGCTGGGCTGGAAGGTCTGGGAGCCGCGCAGCCAGGTGCCCTCCAGTCCGTTCACCCAGCATTCCCCACCAGAGCGGGCGCAGTCACCCCGAGATTCTTCACGTGAAACAGCCAACCTACTGGGCTGGGCCCAATCCAACCCTTTTACACGTTATTTTAAAGGCACAAAGCAAGAGGCCCCAGGGGCCGGTCAGAATCCGGGGGCAGCTGGAAGCCACTAGTGCCTGCGAGAGGCCATTCACGGTGAGATGGGCATTCTGAAGTGACCCGAAGACTCTAGGTGGCACCAGGGACCGAACGTGGAAAAGCAGGTGGGAAAATTCAAAGGCTCCAGGGCGCCCCTCCCTCCCTGCAGCCCAGGCCTTTCCAAGAGGCCCAGGAGCAAGCGTGTCCTCTGAGCCCACAGGGGCCAGTGTCCTGGTCCCCGGAAGACACTGCGAGCATCAGGCGAGTGGCATTTGGATAGGCTGCCCTCCCCTGAGGTCTAGGCCACCCTCCAATTTCCCAGGGGAGCCCAGGGGAGCCTGCTGATGGGCTCTTCATGAGCAGAAGATACCTGGGTGGCTCAGGGGCAGCTGGCACCCCAGGGAGAACCTAACCTTTGACCCTTCCTGGGGGCAACAGAATGAGAAAACCAAAAGGCATTCATTGTGGCTGAAATCTATGTATGAAACAGACATGACAACGTGTTTATAAAACGCCTGGCTTCCCAGAGCCAGCTGGGAGCTTCAGCTATTTCTGGAATCCCACTCTGCTTCTGCTCATAAGCGCCGTCAGGAAAAATAACGCCATGTCCTCGTCCGCAGGTTACAGCTTTGCAGGTGCCCAGGCACATGGAGACGCACAAGAGCAAGACAGGGCCTCCGTGTTGTTTCCTGCTGGCTTCGGGATGGATCTTATCCTTCTTGGCCCTTGATGACAACTAGTAGGGGTGCACTGTCTAGGGGGAGGGGGGCCCCCCGAAGCAGGCTTGGGACAGGGGCTGAGGAGCCTCCTGCAGATCCCAGTTGTGCCCACAGAGGGCACTAGACCAGGGTGTGCTCAGCCTTGGCTTGGCCAGAGGGGCCAGAGAGGGAGGCAGAGGCCAGGTTTCCCCATCAGAGTCATTCCCAGCATGGACGGGGCGGGGTGCGAGCTGGCGGGCACCGTATCCTGCTGTTCCCAGGCTCTTGCTGTGCTGCTGGCCCCGGCGTGGGAGCCTGCGGGGAAGAGGCAACAGGGACCCCCCAGCTCCCATTCCTGGAGAAGGCCAACATCTTCTGTCCCACACACTCTTCAACCCAAAGTCCTCCCACAAGACTGCTCCTCCCTCAATGAGCAGGAGACCGCCAGCTGCCTTGAACGTGCCAACCCAACCACAGCTGGTGTTTTCCGCCCGTTCTCACAGCCTCCCAGGCTCTTCCAGGGTAATCACCAGTGACTTGCATGGGGAATCTTGGCCTGAAAGCAGACGTTTCTTTTCGTTCTGTCTACCCGCTCCTCCTCCATTCGCTTTCCTCATTTGTTCCCCCTTCCTCATTCTTAGCTTCATAAAAAACATTAAAAAAATTTTTTTTGCCTAGAAGATAAGTGACTTTACAAAATCTGAACAAATACACTAACCCCTGAAATAAAACCAAACCCTGGGTACTTGTGGCTCACAAGTCACACTTGCAAACGTGATCTCGCCAGTGTCCCGGGGGGCATTCCGGTGGCTGATATATGGGGAGATTTCGTTTCTCCTTTGGTCAAAATAAAAAGTCCCAGAATGCCTTCCTCTCTCCATCAACCCAGGAAATAAGCCAGTGACATTGGCTTATGTAACTGCCTCAGGGAACGGCTCTCCTAGCATCACTACCGTGAGCACTCGAGATCATTAGGAGGGTTCTGTCCTGTCGCCCGCCCTGCCTGTTTCATGGAAAGGAAGACTCAATTTGAGTGGCGAGTTGCCCACAGTCATCCAGCAACAGCTGAGGACTGCAGGTGCGTGCGGGCTCTTTCCACCAGCACCTGGTAAGTGCCCTCAAAATCTCTCTTCCCATAGCTCGTCCCGGTGAGGACCCCCTCACACATGACCCTAAAACCCAGCTGCTTCTCCATCAGGACAACAGAGGTGTAACTGCAGGAGGCAAGACCCCCTCACCCCCCCCCCCCCCCCCGAGCATGGGAAACACAGGAGGCAGTGGAAGGAGCAACAGGACGTTTAACAGTAGCCTCCAAGCATCTCCTCTGATGTACGTATTAATGACAGACAAATAGTGGCTGTGGGTGGAGGAACCTGGCCGGCACCACCTTCCCTGTAGGGAGTGAGAGTCTGCCCCTCACCCCAATTCACACACGGAAGCCCTCACCCCCAGTGTGAGGGCATTTGGAGATGGGCCTTTGGGAGGCGATCAGATGAGGTTGCTGGGGTGGGATTCTCATAAGAAGAGACCGGAGAGCTTGTTCTCTCCCACCCCTGCCCCATGAGCGCACACGGCAAGGAGACAGCCAGGCGAGAACCGCACCAGAGCCCTGCCGTCTGGCACGCGGTCCCCGACTCCCAGCCTCCTGAACTGTGAGAACAGAAATGCCTGCTGTGTAAGCCACCAGGCCGTGGTGTTTCCTTACAGGCGCTTGAGCTGACGAAGACATCGCCCAAGAGATGAAGGGTACCCTGGCAATAAGGCACAGGGCCCCCGCGTGCCCCTGACATGATCACTAAGGGGCACGTGACCCCCGGCGTTCCCACCAAAAGCCTATAACCTCCTTCTGATCCCGAGATCACACACTGAGGGACTGCTACCAAACCCTGACCAGCACTGCACAGAAGTGTCCATGTCACGGAGACAAGGACAGAACAAGGACGTGAAGATGACAAAGGGAGACTGAAGGCGGCGTGGGAGCGGAAGAGACGTGAGCGGAAAACGGGCGGCACCTGAACCACGTCTGTTGTCGGTGCCGGTGTCACTGTCGGGGTTGGTGGCGCCTGTGGTTAGGCACGATGGTCACTCTAGGGGAGGCTGGGCTTTTCCAACCCTCCCAAGGCTAAATTATTTAAAATAAAAAGGTCTATAAACGTCTGTCCCTGACTGGAGTCTTCCTGTGGGTCCCATCAAAGAGGACAGATGGTGTCCAGAACCTTGTTTGTCCTGAATCAGTTGTCCGGCTGAGGGCCTCGCAGGGACAGAGTGGTATTTCAGTGTGTGTGTGTGGGGGGGGGGGGGGCTGAATTATGAGGGATGACCTAGGACACCCATGACCTGGGACGAAAGGCCAAGGACATCTCAGGATGAGCAGTGAGGGGGCGGCCGCTGCTGTAAAGAAGTTGGAAGGAAGAGACTGGCCGAGGGAAGGCAGCTGGTGGTGCTGGGTTCCTTCCTCTCAGGCAGCGGAGCTGTCCCCTTGAGGCCAGGACCGTGGCCGGGGAGGGGGGGGGGGGGGAGACAGCAAGCCGATTTCTGAACTCTGGCGCCCCCTGCCGTGCGCTGCTCAGCTCAGGAAAGCTGCGGGCATCGCAGTGGACCCTCTGGGCGCTCCTCCCCCAAAGGAAACCTGTACTGGAGCCTAGAGGCCACAGCCCGTGTGAGACCTCGGCCAGCACCACGCCAGGGCGGCGAGAGCGTCCCGTTCCCGACCAGTTCCCTCGTTACCTGTGATCCTGTTGGAAATGCTGAAGAGCCTGGACGTCCTCTGCCGCTGGACGAAGGGCTCCCGGTAATACCGGTCTCCGAAGCACATGCCCAGCAGCTCCCTGCGCACCGTCTTGTTCCAGAGTCCGTAAATGAGGGGGTGGCAGACGGCGCTGGAGAAGCTCAGCCACGTGGCCCAGGTCTCCAGGCTCGGGGAGACGCAGTTCTTGCCCCAGAGGGCCTCGCAGGTGATGACCACCATGTAGGGGCCCCAGGTGACCATGAAGGCGCCCAGCACCACCAGGATGGTGATGAGGGCTTTGCACTGGTTGGCGGAGTAGACGACGCCCTGGAAGGCGTTCCTCCGACTGCCCGAGGAGGAGGTGGAGGTGCTGGAGTTCTTTCGCCCGGTCCCCTGGGCGTCCTCCTGCCCCAGGACCACCGTGCCACAGTGCACCTTGCGGGCCTTGACCCTGGCCACGCGGAAGATGAAGCCGTAGCACACGAGCATGACCAGGAAGGGGAACAGGGCGCACCAGATCTGCCAGAAGGCCGTGTAGCCGGGCTCCCGGTGCCACGCCGCCACGCACATCCACTTGAACTCGTCAAACTCCACGGAGGACCAACCAAAGAGAGGCGGCAGGCAGCCGATGAGCGAGTGGAGCCAGATGTAGACAAGAGCCGTCACGGCTCGGTTCCCCGTAATCTTCATGGGGTACACCATGGGGTACAGGACAGCGTAGTAGCTGGGAAGGACGGGAGGCGAGAGAGGGTCAAAACAGAGAAAACACCAGGCTGCGCTCGCGCTGCTTTCCGGGCGGAGAGCACCTCCCACCCAGATCGTGGCTGAGGGACATGCTGGCTGGGAGAGGACTTCCCCGAGGGCAATGCACGCAGGGGAGGGGTGGCCACGCAGGCGCCGCCTGGTGCAGGCAGGACGTGCGGAAGGACTGTGGCTACGAGCCTCACGTATCACCTGTGAAGCCACCTCATCCACCAGGCCCGTCTTGAGTCCCTGGGGACCCAGCTCCGAGGTCAGCCCGAGGCTGCCGGTCTCACATCTGGCCGGGACAGGGCGTTTCCGTGTCCAGGACTGCAGTGTGGACAGAATCGTGCATGTGCCCCGGGCACAGCCATCTGTTACCCCGGCGTCTGGGTTACATCTCACAAGGCCGTGCGTGCAGCAGAGAGAGAAACAGGCTTCCGAGCAGGGGCGCCCGGCTCCACGTGGCTCTGCCGTCTGCCGGCTGTGTGGCCGGGGAAGCCGACTCAACCTCCCAGAGCTCTGTTCCCCCATCTGCGACACGGAGCCACAGAGCCTCGCCACCCTTCAAAGGGCAGTGGGGGCCCGGCTTGTCTCTGCCTGGCCACCCACTGCTCCCCTTCCCTCTTGAGGACGGGACGCCCTCTTGTTCGTGCTCCCGTAAAGCTGCTGTGACCACAGCAGCCGGAGGCCTGGGGAACGCGTCAGGCCGTTTTGGCGGCCACCTTGCCCAGTGACGGGCGGAGACACTGGCCTGGGTCCCATCATCCTGGCAAAGGAAATGTGAGGGGAGTTTGCCCAGGGCACTTCTGAGAACATTTCCTTCACGTTCAAAAAGAACCAAGGCTAGTTTCGTTGTTTCTGAAACACATGCGGCCCCTGGCCTCAGGCCCCAGGGTGGCCAGGCAGCAGGGGTGGGGGGTGCCGCCTAGAGCAGTGATGGCGAACCTATGTCACCTCTGACACGCAAACTCAATTTTTTGGTTGATTTTTCTTTGTTAAATGGCATTTAAATATATAAAATAAATATCAAAAATATGCATCCTCGGGAAGAGACTGGACAAAAATTGTGCACCTATGGATGAGGACAGTGGGTGGGGAGTGAGGGCAGAGGGTGGGGTGGGAACTGGGAGGAGGGGAGTTATGGGGGGAAAAAAGAGGAACAAATGTAATAATCTGAACAATAAAGATTTAATTAAAAAAATAAATAAATTATATATTTAAAAAAAATATGCATCTTTGTTTTACTATGGTTGCAAATATCAAAAAATTTCTATATGTGACACGGCACCAGAGTTAAGTTAGGGTTTTTCAAAATGCTTACACGCCGAGCCCAAAAGGTTCGCCATCACTGGCCTAGAGAATGCCAGCTGTCCTCAGGATGAATAACCGTCCTTTGCAGCACGGCCTCTGGCTATTCTCAAGACGCTGTTAGTGTTAGCATTTTATGGCAAGACTTGGGCTTCATTGTGACAAATGGTGTTTATATCCCTCGAGGACTAAGGTTCTGGCAGGAGCAAGTCTAGCCGTGACAGTGAGTTCTCCCAGCTGCGTCCGAGCCCCATGGGCATGCCCAGCCCGAGGAGCCCCCACAGACCGGCCAGAGCACTGCCATGTGCCTCCACACCCGCCAGAGCACTGCCATGTGCCTCCACACCCGCCAGCGGTTATTTGGTTTCGGGGGGGGGGGGGGGGGAATTTATATATATGGAAATGCACAAATCTGCCCCTCTATCATTTCCGTGTCTGCCACAAAAGATGGATTTCATAGATTTGAAAATTCATGTTTGAAATTTAAGCCTCATTCAGGCAGGTTCAGAGGAAAATGGAGAAAAGGGCAGCTTCCCCGGTGAGGGAATGCAGGCGAAGTGGGGGGTGGTGGGGAGGGTCCCTTTGCTCCCTGTACCCTCAGCTGTCTTCTGAAGGCCTCCGTCTGTTCTCCAACAACTCACGCTTCGCCCGGAGCCCAAACAGGCCTTCTCTCCTGAGGCTTCCTGATGTCACCTGTTGCTGAAAGGCCGCCGGGCACATATGGGCTCCAACACTCAGCTCCCCTGCACGAGACCAGTGACCTTGATATGACCCTGGCTTTAACAGGAGGCTCCCCGCCCCGGGGAGCACAGTAACTCATGCTGAGCGTGGCTTTCCTCACCGGAACTGACTGGTCGTGGCTCCAGCTACTAGTACTTTCTCTCATTGGAACGCGGCTGAGAGCTGGAGTTCCAACCGGCGTGAATGACCACCGGCTTCCTTCCCTCACATCCTCCCCCATGCGGACAGCCGCCAGGACTGTGGCCTTGGGCCTGGCCTGTGCCCTGGATGGACAATCCAGCGACCATTTGTCAGCTAAAACCCTGGTGGTCCCAAGGGAACCCAGGGACTGTGTCAGCCACGGACAGTGTCACGGGCTCGTCCCCTCTGTGCTTCCCTGACCGCTTCTTCCCCAATTCTGTATGTCACGCTGAACCTGAGTCTACCCTCCTGCCCCGAGGAAGTCCCCCCTCGCCTGGGATGAATGAGCTGACCATCAGCAAAATGCAAATCACCAAGCTGAATCCAGGGGGGAACTCGCCACAGAAGCCACGCGCCCCCTCAGACAGCACACAGCGGGAACGGAGGGCGCCTGTCGGATGCAGCGAGGGCACCCGCAGGCCCTCCTCACTGAGCCACTACACCACGAGGAGGGCCACCAGCCTGCAGGGCAGGTGCACCTCTCAGGCGCCTGCGTCTCCGTCCCTGGGTTGTCTCCCTTTCCCGGCTCTCCTTCCACCTGGAGGGGAGGTTGGTGAGGTCCCTGCACTGTGGACAGGGGACAGTGTTTCCTCTTTGCATCCCCACCCCAAGCCCAGCTCTGGCCCAGGTCAAAGCAACAGGCATTGAACAGCAGGTCTAATCCCTCCTCTGCCACGGCACCTTCCGCAGCTGCTGTTTCGCTAAAAATCGGGGGTCTCTATGAAAGTTTTTTTAAAGCCATGGAACCTCTTTTAAAAAAACTACAGAGAGAATTATATATAAACATATACAAATATTACAGATCACATACACATGGGCACTGGGCTCGAATGCCCACTGCCAGCCCTCCCAGGGTGCAGCCTCTCCCTCTTGGCCTGGGCAGGGGCAGGGACGTAATGCTGGAAAGGGCTCCATGTTCAATGACACTAAACAGAATGCGAGAGCAAACACCTATATAATAAATGATAAATAAAACTCCACGCAAGAGAGACGAGGTCAGACCCGAGGTCCTCTGGCTGAAGGGACGGAAGCGAAGGCAGACTCTGCTTTCTCCCTGGCCCCACAGAGCCCAGCACCCTCCCAAGGAACTCAGCATAACAGTCCCAGGGCCAGGTGACCGCTCCGGGTCCCTCTGCACAGCTTCCTAACTCCTCTGTCCTCCCTCCTGCGGCAAGCTTACCGGTCGATGGCAATGACCCCGAGGGTGAGCATGCTGGCCGAGCTGATGAGCAGGTACAGGAGGGCGGAGAAGTTGCACCAGACCACCCCGAAGATCCATTCCCGCCGAATGGAGCTGGTCACCACGAAGGGCAGCACCAGCACGGACAGCAGGAAGTTGGACAGCGTCAGGCTGAAGACGAACTTGTTGCTGAGGGTGAGGAGGTAGGACTTCTTGTACAAGGTGACCACGATGACCAGGTTGCCCAGGCAGACGAAAATGGTGATGACCACGATGGCGATGAACTCGGTGACGATGGCACCCCCTTCACCAGCCGCCGCCCCCGTGCGGTTGCTCAGCTCCTTCCAGTGGCCCAGAGAGGAGTTGAGGCTCATGGTCAGTGCGCCTGGGCGCGGGGTGGGCGCAGCATGCTGGATGACTGGAGGGACAGGGCAAGACGGGGGACAGGAGAAGGTCATCGGATCAGATCACCCGACCTCCACAGAGAGCAGCAGGGGCCCCAGGCCCCCAGCTCATCCAGAGACTCAGCCAGCCTCCCTGCCACGCTCTACACACACGGCCTGTTTTCTACAACCCACTCTGTGTGCCGCTCATTGTGTCCCCGTGAACGAGGCAGCCCTCCGTTCTAAACGACCCATCCGTTCCGCAAGGCCAGCAGTTCCGACCTTGAATGCACCAACAAGTCACCCTGAGTGTCAGCTCCAAGGGTCACCTGCTAGATTCTGGTCCCAGAGACCAGAGGTGCACCTAGGAGAATCTGCATGTGAAACGGGCTGGAGCAGGTGGTTCTGGTACAAGTGGCTTACGGGGCACACTGCGGGCGGCTCCTGCCACTCCCTGACCCCACAGCAGCCTCGGCCCCGGGAGCTTCCCTGACAGGCAGCCTCTCAGGCTCCACCTGGGACTCACAGCACCAGGTCCGGGTGCTGCTCCCCTCACTTCCCCCCGCTGACCCGTGTGCACTGAAGGCTGGCAGCAGGACTCCAGGAGGCCCCTGAGCGGGGCAGAAGCAAGTGCACTTCACATGGAGATGTTGCCATCGCTCCGGCCGGACAAGGACCCCGGCACTGAGTATCAGTGGGAAGTGGAGGACCAGGTAGGGGTCTGGGCCCAAGGGCCTCATTCCCGGTGAGACGCGGTTCCTGTGCTCAGGAAACTGGCTCAGGATTTGGCTAAAAGTCAACAATGACACATGTTAGCATTCAAGGCTGCCGATGGATGTCCCTCCAAAAATGTGTGTCTGCTACAATCAGCCAAAGAATCCCACGATCACTTCCCCACCTGCTCTGGTTCCTCACCAACAGAAGACACCAGAAAGAAAGGAGAGATTGCTTTGCATGAGCCAGACAGGAAGAGCCGGTGCCGACCACCTCTCACAGCCGGGCCCCTCCGGCTGACCCACACCCACACCTCCACCAAACACCTCTGGCCACAGGAGCTGCTGGTATGGGAGGCAGGCCTGGCCTCACCAGCAGTTCTAATTACAAAGATTCCCTTCAGAGGGGGCCTGGCCGCTGTGGGTCATGACCACGGGCCCCAGGCCCGCTCGCTTGAGCAGGACCCAATAATCCTAGTCTCTCCTGCATTTGACAGCCTCGGAACACATCACAAGTTACTTCTTTCCCTTCTCCAGATAAATTCTCCCAGATCCCAAGATGCCGCCCAGGCCGACCCTAACTCAGACTCCTGCTGGGGACCTGCTCATGGATGTCTGTGACCCTCTCGACGCGTGGTCCCCAATCCTGCACACACCATCCTGGATGTGGTGGGTGAGTGTTGAGGACAAAGGGGTAATTTTCTCCATGATCAGGGTAATCTCAAAGAAGTGTTTTCCTTTAGCAAGTGTATCAGCCTGTGGGGCTTAATGAGCTTATGTAAGTGTGAGCTCAACTAAAACCCCACGCTTACACACATCGGAATGTCTGTGAAGGTAGGCACCCCCAAAACTGAAACTATGAAATTAATGTTTTTAAGCCTAAACACAAAACATTACTTCTATTAAATTTTATTTTGTGCATTTTGGCCGGTATGTCCAGGCTGCTAAAGTATTCTGAATTTTGATTCAGTGATGCAATGTGCTAGGTTACTCCAGCTTTGTGCCACGACTACACTTTATAGATAAGCCTCGTATGTCTGTCTTTGGGAGGTCATTGTGGGTTTTGTCTTTATTTTGTGAGTTGTAGATTTTGTTAACTCTTATATGTAAATGATTATTTGGTGTCTCAAAACAAGGCCCTACATAAGCCTGTTACTCTTAACTGCACACGTGATAACACAATGGCTAAGAAAACAGACTTTGGGAGCCCTGGCTGGATACTCACATGGCTAGACCATCGTCATGACACGCCAAGGTTGCAGGTTCGATCCCCATCAGGGCACGTACAAGAATCAACCAATGAATGCGTGAATAGGTGGAACAAAAAAATGGATAGGAGCTTTTAAAGCAAAATAAAATGAAAACACTAAGAAAAATGGAAGCTCTTAGAGCTGTGATTAGAGTAAACATAGCCTAAGTTAGTCTTGGTCCAGAAGCCTTCCTTGGTCATGGCTGTTTCCCCAGCACCTGGACAAGTGCCTGGCACACAGTTCGTTACTCAAGAATTATGAGTTGATGAATGACTAACCTTCAAAACCATGTCATTGTTAAGTCAAACATGATTGTTAACATTATAAAGCACGAAAAGGATAAAAATTGGGTGCAAAACTTTATTGTAAAGAAGGAATGAAGTACTCCTGGGCCCGGCTGCTCTCCAGGGGCCGTATTAGCAGGCGCACTGGTGAACTGTGCGATCACAGCCGCAGTCCTGGGGTCCTCGCAGGAGGCCGAGGGGGAGGAGGGACAAAGACCTGTCCCCCAGGGAAACCCACACCCCAGCCCCTGCCAGGAGCCTGGAGTGGGGAGGGCACAAGCCCCAGCAAATCCCGGGGGTGTACTTTTAAAGAACAAGAGAGGGTTTGGAATGCCCCGGCCCGTGAAGGCGCCCAGGCAGGCCGCCAGCGTACCGGGGGCCTGACAAGCCAGGGCCCATCGAACGAAGCAAATTCAGGAGTGACTCACATTTCCACTCTCCTGGCCAGTTCTGTTGCCAGACACAAGGGTGTTCCACTCCCACACGCACTCCGTCCTGCCCTGACCAGATAATCCCCAGCTCCAGCTTGGAGAAACAACATGATTGGAACTCGATTGCGGTTTCATGCGAGCATCAGAAATCCTTCCCTCCCAGGGAAGGCTGGGCATGCCAGCACTGTCCCGCCTCAATGTACTGCGGTCCCTCCTCTGGGAACTGCCTCCAGTCTTCTTGACCAATCACCCCCAGGGTGCCAGCTGTCCGCTGGAGCAAGGACTGCTAGTAGCCTCGAGTCATCAAAGCCAAACCTGCCCCTCAAATGAGATGAATACCATTGTGTGGGTTAAAAAAACCAAACGAGCCGAAACCGGTTTGGCTCAGTGGATAGAGCATCAGCCTGCGGACTGAGAGGTCCCGGGTTCGATTCCAGTCAAGGGCATGTACCTGGGTTGCGGGCACATCCCCGGTGGGGGATGTGCAAGAGGCAGCTGATCAATGTTTCTCTCTCATCGATGTTTCTAACTCTCTCTATCTCTCTCCCTTCCTCTCTGTGAAAAATCAATAAAATATATTTTTTTAAAAAAAAAATCTTAAAAAAAAAAGAAAGACAACACTATGGAATACTGAGACGGGTATCCATTGTTTTATAAATTGGTTTGCATGGTGATTAATTCCCTAGAAATACTCCTAGGAAAGCCTGGTGTGTGAGGACAGAATGACTACAACATGAGGGTGGATTTCTCCCCTCTTATTTAATTGTGTCAGTCAGATACTTTGGGGCTTGCCTCCTATCTGACCTAGAACTCTTGGGTTTTCCTTGACTTACAGGAGACTTTTCCTGCTCATAGCCGTGCCTGCATGTGTCAGATCCACAGCGAGGCCTGGGGGTTAAGTGTAGAAGCCAAAGGACCTGGGTTTGAGGAACCAGCTCAGGGGCCAGCAGGGAGGTGCATAGCGGGGTAAACAGCCCTGGGGCGAGGAAATGCTCCTCAGCACCACTTCAAAGGCCCCGGTGAGGTCACTGATGCTATTTTGGTCTGCTCTGGGGCTCTTCATCTCAGCACCTCAAAGCACTTTATGCACACCGCTCACCAGCTTGGGGGGAGGGGGGGAGCTGGGAAGAAGGTTCTAATAACCACCCTGTTTTGCACTAAGATAAAGAGCGAACCCCTGCCCCACTCCACCCACAGACCCGGCCACACAGCTCGCTCAGTGCCAGAAAGAGATCACAGGACCCTGGGTGCCCTCTCTCCCCTCCCCCATCCCACCCTGGCACTCCCGCGAATGCTGAGCTAAAGACCAACGGCCGGCCAGCCAACCCAGGGTCTGGGACAGTGCACAGTGCTTTGCTCTTGTCCCCATGAAGGCATCACAACCTAGGAAAGTCTTGGTTCAAAGCCTCTCACTTCTGACGGGGAGCAGGGCTGAGCTGCATGCACCAGAGGAGGGAAAGAGCCCAGTGGCCTCGTGGTCCGTCTGAGTTCTCGGTTGCCAGTGGGAGACGCCAGGCTGTGGTCCCTCTGCACATACAGCCTCAGTGTGAGCACCCGGCTGCCCTGCGCCCTGTGCAGGGGCTGGAAGCCCGGAGGCCAGCGTTCCTCCAGATCCTGCCACGGATGGTACCACATCCGCAAGGACATCAACGCTGACCCTTGTCTAATGTCTCCCCAAGACAAGCTCCTGCTTTCAGCACAGACACTGCCCAAGGCTCGCCGGTGATCCGTTCCTCTCCCCACACCTTTGAGTGCCGCTTCATTATTAGTAACTGTTGTCGGTATTTGCAGAACACTGTGCAGCACATGACGTACCTTCATAAGCATCATCTCACTTGACCTTGTGTGTGACGGTCAGGGGTAGGAATTGCTCCTGTCCACACTTCAGGGAGAGCATGAACTCAGGAACTAAAGGGCCCGGGTTCAAATCCCGGCTCGACTGCTTACAGGCTCTGGACCTTGACACATTACTCAGCCTCTCTGGGCGTGCGTCGGCTTCGCACTTGTAAATGGAGGGAATATGCCTCTCAGAGAACATTCCTCATGGGGTTGGTGGGAGGAATCAATGGGCTAATATCTGCACAAGTGTTTGTTAAATAATAAAATGGAGAAACTGAGGCTCAGAAAGGTTGAGCGCCTGGTTCGAGAGCGCAGTTAGTAGTGGTTCCACAATTTGGTTCTCTGGCTGTAGACCGCCATGCGCCTTCAATCCACCCATCCCCAGAGCAGGTGAGACTCTACGCGCCGTGGCCTCCTCCACACTCTCACCGCCAACCCCTTCATGCACCTTCCGCTCCAGCCAGCGGTGCTGTGTGCTCCCATCTCTAATTTGCTTCGCTCCTGCCTGTCCTCTCCCT